GATGTTAATGTATGAAAAAATTTGAGTTGGCAACACCAAACAATGTTGAACAGAATTTTAGGATTAATCCCAATTCAAATTATAATGTAAACTTTAGATATACAGCTAGCATCACATGGAGTATTGTGAAAATACTTTAAAAATTACATAAGAGGAAAGAACAAGGAATATTATTAGTCCCCACCACCATTCTATCAGCTAAGACTACTAACAATGAATTTGCTCATATCAGTACAAAAAATCTATGTTCCTCAAACTCTCCAAAAAATGCTGACACACTCGTGAGTCGTGTCCGAGGATCCAACATGCAACTGTTGCCATTTTTTGAAGAGTCCGAGCAATATAGCAACAAATAAGAGGAGCAAAGTAATAGTAATGAGGAAGTCCACAAAGGAAAATATGTATTAAGAGGGAAAGAAATAAAAGTTTTATATGATTGAGTAATACATAGCCAGAAAGGTTAACATTATTCTTTGTGATAACAAGCAAATGTAGTAGAATATAATCCATGGTACTTATTTAGAAGATTGATTTGCATATGATTTTTGTGCTGAATCTGAGCAGAGTAAATCTGTTAATGTGAGGATGGACTTCTATCACACTTCCAGAGTAAAGAACAGGAAGAAAAAGCAGAGAGGATTTCGACACACCTCAGTGAGGTTTTCTAACAAAAAGAGACAAAAGGAGCTAGCACCATATAAGAAGGTGATGGTTTACAAGGCTCGTGCACTTGTAGAGTTTACTACTACGACTTCAACCAAGAAAACTGACAGATTTTTTGAAGGTGATGGTTTCTACGGGGGAGGGGGGAGGAAGATGATGAACTCATTCTCCCCTAACCAGCAGAGAAACACACCTCAGCATGGCAAATAAAAATGGAAGGGACAGTTATCGAGACCAAGAAAGAACTTCACAGAAAGTTGGAAGATTATTGACCTATTTGCAATTTGCATATAATTATAACATTTAATCTAGATTTAGTTGTCTTGAAAGACTGTACAGATATTATAGTAAATTAATTTTTTTTATATATATACTGAAGATACAGCCAACACTACACATGGCCAGTGAGGAAATACTTCAATTTCTTATTTTTAAAAAGAAAAGAAATCACACACAGATGATGAATTTCCTCAGATCAGTATAACAAATAGCAGGAACAAAGTAATAGCAATGACACTCAACTCTAAGTCCAATCCTAGTTAATCAAGTAGTATAAAGTTTTCGTGTTCCGATCCTTCTTTCTCTATCTCAGATGAGAAAGTCCAATAGGGCAAGTATGTTTTAAGAGGCAAAGAAATACAAGTCATGCATGGTTGCATACATAATTCTTTTGTGGTTCTAGCCACTGAAGTAGAAAAATCAATGATACTCATTTAGTAGATTGACTAGCAATTGATTTTAGTGAAATGATTTTCTTGAGCCGAGCGTCTATTGGAAACAATCTCTCTACCCCACTTGTGAGACTATACTGGATATGTTGTTGTTGTCATTCAATAGAATCAATGTTACTAGAGCAAACCTCTTATTATGGGGATGAACTTCCATTCCATTTCCAGAGTAAAAAACAGTTAACAAAAGGAGTGAGGATTTGGACAAACACGAACAAAGGGAAAAACAAGAGACGGTGAAGTTTTCAACACAGAAGTAAAGGAGCTAATACCATATAAGAAAAAGTCCTTCAACATATAGTAAACCATTAAAAACAGACTTCACAAGGCTCGTGCACTTGACGAGTTTACTACAACTTCAAGCACGAAAGTGAGGATAGAGATTCTTAGCAGGTTTTTACTTATTTAGGCATTTCAGAGGGGGGAAAATAAACTCATTCTCCCCAAACCAACAGCGACAAAAATACTTCAGTGTGGCAAATGTAAATGTAAGGGACTATTTAACAAGTCAAACTCGTCACAACGTAATTACAATAGTAGAATTCATCTAACTGAACAGTTTCAGGACTGACACTAGGCATCAAATCCAAATTCTTATAAAAGGGGATTCACAGCTCCATTAAGAGTTGAAGACCATATCAACAACTCCATATAGATATTAACACTAAAGCACCATTAATCCAATAAAGGGTACTAACACAAAGCGCAAATGTTATTCAACTCAAATTCTAGAATACATAGAAGTCAAATTAACAGGATTTATAGAAGGCTAAAAATCAACAGTTACCCTGATATCAATCTTCCCCTGTTGGAAACAGAGTAAGGACCTTCCTCCCATTGACGGCGGTGGCTGAATCCACATCCTCCACATAAGATGACACCACAGGACTACCATTATGCACTGATGTCCCCATTCTCTGAACTTGCTGCTGTGATTGCCTAGACAGAAAAGGATGCTCAAAATGTCCATTCGCCGGTGACCCAAATTGCCTATACTGCTGTTGAACTTGTGGATGGTGTCCAACAACCACTCCCATATGATGGTGATGCTGCATCGGTGTCACTGGCACAAACGGCATGAAATGGTCAGAGTTACCCCTCCCCGGATGCAGAAAATGTGCCGGAACAGGTGAACTAGCAAACAAATTATCCATTGCTGGATCAACACCTGCCCCTGATAAAGACTGAGCATTGCTCCCACCACTTCCACTGTTAGAAAGACCTTGCATACGTTTCAAATAAAGCCTATACTTTTGCAAATGACTAGCAACATTTTCGCGTGTTAATCCATCTACACTCATCAGTTGCATTATAGTCTTAGGGACAGCATTCTTGATCCCCAAATGAGCAACTGCATCCACAAACCTCTTATGTAGCTGTGGTGTCCACACAAGGCGTGGCCTTTTCAATGTCCTAGCTGGTTCATCTCCACCTCCTCCCCCATTCAGCTCAGTAGACTCAAATTCAGCTGATGAATTTGGCTGAGAAGATTGAACATGAGGAGTCTGCTGCTGTTTGCTCTGAGGATTTGGGCTTGTGGGGTTTGGAATATCAAAAGCTATCGCAAGATCCGGAGTAATAAGGGTTTGAGATAAAGACATTAACTCTTCTGGTTTAGGCAATTCTTCTTCCCACTTAGCAAACCAATTTGAATCTTCTTCCCTCATCTTCCTTATTTTGGGGTAGGGTAAGGGGATTACAACCTGAGGAATCGAACCCTTTAAGCCAACCAACTAAGCTACTAAGATTCTCCGATCCTCATCTTCCTTATCCTTCTTGAAAACCCAAAATCATGGATTTTTTTCCCACCAAGATCTCACCTTTATGACTCCAACTCCAACTTGGTTAACAGATTAACCTGAATCATAACAAGTTACTACTTGGATTACTACTTAGAACTAATAAAACTAAACTTAAACCATCAAATAGGAAAGAATAACAAAAAGATAAAAAAGATCTCTCCTTTTATGGGAACTTAAAGATTGACAAAAGAATCTAAACAAACCAGGTGATAAACAGATATAAACAAGATATGGGGTTGGAAAAAGACAAGTGTACAAATTGAAAGATGAGATTTTTTTTTGAGATGGGTGTTTGTCTTTATCACCCAACTCCCTCTTAGTGAAGAATCTTGATTTCTGGGTATTGAAAGAAAGAGGGAGAAAATGAAGTTTTACTTTGGAATTTTTTTTTTTGCAATTGTGGGAATTTTATGGATAGTGGGGGGTGAGGAAGAGTTTTGTGGAGGGGTGTTCGAGGTGGATCTTGTTTCTTTTTCAGCTTTTTATTATTAGAGGAAAAAAAAAGGCACAAAAACATATTACAATTATGGCGAAATTATTAGTTATAGTATATCTTTTCTGTCTGCAAGTTTTATAATCTTCAACCTATTTTTAAGTGGAATAAATATCGATCTTAAAATTGGACATTGGTATGGAATATTGTTTATGCGCCGCCATGTATATATATATTTTGCATTTTTTCCTTTTTTAAAAAAAATTATATCCTTCTTATATGAATTTGAGCGAGGAAGAAGATTAACAAAGAAATGAATGATAAATGTTGAAACAAAGTCACCAATAACCTTTATTTTTTGGTGAAAAATTATAAAGTAAGAGCTGAATTTGAGTATCGATATGATAACGATGAAATAATGATGATATTGTGGTGAGAAATAAAAAGGAAAAATCAGATCAAAAGAAAAATATGAAGACAAAAAAGGAAAAAATATTGAGGCATTAAAAATGCGAACTAAAAGATAGTAAAGAAACCAGAAAAAAAAAGATATTATTTTTAAAAAAATTCTTTGTACCCTATGCCAGTTTAGTATTTAAGGATTTAATAATTTTAATTTTAAATAGTTGAGGATTATAAAAGCAATAACTGATAGTTTCATCAAAATTGAGGTGTGTTTTTACTCCTTTTGTCTTTATATTATGTTACTGTTGAAGATGCTTTTTCTTAAGATTTTTTATGGAGTTTTATTAGGAGCCATGTGGATGTGAAGCTAGGTGGGGTCATAAACTCATAGGGTAGCTAGTAGAGTGGGGGGGAGGGGGTTATGTGATGGAAAAATTATAAATTATACACTCACAATAGTGTTTTAACCAAACTTATGATAACATAATTGTGTTAATCACTTACTTATGATAAGTTAATTAACATTAATACTGTTTAGTTAAGTACTAATCTTCAGTTTTTTTAAAAAAGTTATCATTTAATCTGATGATAACTTTATAATGCTTGTGACACCAATGAAATTGATGCGGTGGCTATGGAAAGGTGCATTTACAGCTCTAAGTCAAAGGTCACAAAGATTCTCTTTCAGAAAAAATTAGTATTTGGTACATTGTCACAGAAACATTAGATGAGGTTGTACAAATATTATGATTGGATAGAGGAAATTTAAAAAAATTATGAAATGGAAAGAGAGAAACACTTTCCCAAATATAAATTAATATTAAAAGGGAAAGAGGAGAGAGAGAAGAAGATGAAGTCCAATGAAAGAAAAGCAAAGTGGACAGGTGACCCCATTTGAAGTATTTATGTACTAATAATTGCTCTATTGCATATTGAGTGTGTAATAATTTCCATATAAAGTTAAAAATATAATAGTGAGAATTCATATAACTGAACTCAACTTATTTGAGATTGAGCATAGTTTACATCAGACCTGACCTTACCCTACCTCAGAGATAGAGAAGTTGTTTCTGACAGACTCTCAACTCAAAAAGAAAAAAGTCCAAAGCAATCCAATAAAGAAAGTACAAGAAACAACGCGATCACCAATCAACAATTGCTAATATGTGATTTGGTATACATATAGAGGATGTCAAAGGTTGTATTCAATCAGAAAGATGATGTATACCTACTATAGTTCTATATAGTTTACAAGTTATGTTTATGCATAATACACAAAATACCATGCACTTTAACACATCATCCATAGAGTGCAATCTTCTGTTTAACACCAGAAGTACCCACACTGGAGCTACCTTGCTATCTTCTTACTATCACCACCATCATAAATAAGCATTTCATGTGTATTGAGGCCTTGATTGAAAACAACTCGTCGAAGGATCAGAATAAGAAAGTTTCAGTTTGTGAAACATTACTCCACTGAATAGCTGTTACTCAGCTCATTGATGGAATCAAATAGTTGACATTAACCAATAGAAACACTCATTCTGGCCCTGCTGCATATATGTTTTTGCAGTAGATTTCTGGAATTAACATGGAAGATGTGTAAATTATGGCAACAACATCCATTTGTGCAAAGAAGACTCGAATGTTGAACCTGATAGCAGTAATCAAACAAACACCACAATTGATCAAAATCATGCTTCAAGGGGGTAAAGTTTATGTTCATGATTACTTCTGTATAAAGACACATGAATCTCCTAGACACGGAACTCATACTATGAGCCATCGTTAATAAAGCAGTATGGGCAAATTAGTAAAGCTTAAAACAGCCCTTGATTCGAAGAATGATTTCAAAAAGATAAAAGTCTTCTGCTTCTAGTCGTGCTACCTATAAGCAATGATTTTGTATGATAAGAATGTTACTGAACTATAATGCGTACATACCATGTCTTTCTTCATCCAAGTAAGAAAAAGATGGGACGCTCGCAGACCGGAAGGAAGAGAATTATTAGAACTCTCGTCCGCCCCTCTCCTTACAGTCTTAAAGGTTAGGTTACTACCTGCTTCTACGGCAGAGGCGAGCGCTAGGTTCAAGCAACTTCATACCACTGCCCCCTATTGTTTGATCCAATATTGACCGGGGACGAGCCCCCACTTCCATAGATCCTTGGTTTGACCTCCCGTAGTGGTCCTTGCTTTTAAGAAAGCGGAGCGGGGCCAATTTCTCGTACTTGCTCAGTGTGCCCCCCTTTCTTCGAGTGCCCCGCCCGGTTCACTGGGCTGTTGGCTTACCAAGCACTTGCCCGCTGCTCCCGCCGCCCGCTTGGCGGGCGGAGCGCTCGTTATCCTGACTTTTCTCTCTGCTGGGGCCCTCCCATTGCTATAGCCATAAGCTATGGCAGCTCCAGCTCGCAACCACAGAAGCCGGTTATAGTAGACTTCTATCCGACAGGGTTTGATGGCTGCGTGGAGAAGCATTGGGAACCCCAATTTTTTTCTTCGAAGCCGTTTCTTTTTCCGTCCCCCCGCCCCGGCATAGCGCTTCGCTGCCCCAACCCCCTATATTATAAAATAGAAGAGTCAAATATAATAAATGCAGTAATCCTACCCATTGTGAGGCTCCCCGCTAACACTTTTTCAGATATTCCCCCTTCCAAGCTTCTATTTAGTAATGGAAGTCATCCGTTGTCACTTTCTAAGGGTATGGTAGAGAGGCTTGAGAAGGTGGACAATCCTTCAGTGAAGGCCGCGTAGCTCGATCGGAGGTCAAGACTGTGGTCCGTGAAGGTTAAATAAGACTTGTGTTAAGCAAGTGATCGGCTTCTTTCTTTTTCTCAATATGATTCTTCAAAGATGCTACAATTGACTATCTCATGGAACTTTAAAATCTCAAAGCATATCCATTAAAATATTTTTTTTATCAAAATCTGCATCCTAAATTTAAGATTAGAAAACACTCATTGTGACTTCAAATGTCCCAACATTCAAGGAATGCTATACAACATTGACGACAAACAAAAAGAAGAGTCCAGTAGTCTGCTTATTGAAGCACCTTTCAACAAACTAGCTTTAAAATCAATCTTTCACAATCTAATACTTAGACGACAAATAGGAATTTAATAGTTTTAGTGAAGATTCATATCTAAATCAAAAGTTAGTTAATCAGGTCATTTTTATCACTAGGATTTTGCGTCACTAATTTATGCTTGAATCCTTTCAACACTTCCAAATTTGAAGCATTTTTTTGTCAAAAAACATTTCATGTTTCAAAGTTTTGATCAGTACATGTTACGGAGTGTATAAGATACATCTATTCCTGATCTAATAGGATTTGTCTTCATATTTGGACTCCTTTCTTAAATTATAAGAACTCAATTAAATATTCTAACAGATCTAGTTTAGAATTTTTCCAACCCCAGTACCCCACTGATCTTCTCAATTGGATGTCAGAGATCTAAGTTAGAATACATCCAAGTGGGAAACCCCTCCATGAATTAAGTAGCAACTTTTTATATCATCTCTTCCACCAAGAAATAAAAAGATACTAAAGCTTCATAAGAACTTTATAATAAAATATATAATATAACGTAGATTTACCTCCTCCTGCGCCGAAAGCCATCAATTCTAATGTTCCATTGATGACTAATCATTTTTCACAGGGTCTGAGTGCACTAGCCTCTGAAACCTATTTGATAACTCCTGGTATGAATGAACTTCAGATGGAGGCACTTGCCTAATGGCGGCCTTCAGATGCTCCATTGTTATTTCAGATGCATCAAGGCTTTCCTGATACCAAAAAGGTTAGGACAACGAAAAATATGCATACACAGAAAGAGAGTGGGTTGGGAGGAGATGTAAATTACACAGCCACATTAAAGAGTGAATTTACTTCAATAGCTGCAATAGCTGCTTCACGACATATCAGCGATATGTCAGCACCAGTACAGCCGCTGGTTAGCTGAGCTAGCTCTTCAATGCATATGTCAGAACTGCATGGCATCTTCTTCAAATGTATGTGGAATATTGCCTCCCTGTCTTTTTCATCTGGAGGTCCAACGTACAGCAATCTATCAAAACGTCCTAACAAAAATAGCACTATCTTTAAGGAGCTCTAGCAGATTTCAAGCAAAGAATTGGTAGTAGCAGTAAAATATAACAAAAAAGGAGGAATAACGGATTTCACCTGGTCTTAGAAGAGCAGGATCAATCTTGTCTGGTCGATTTGTTGCAGCAATAACAGTGACATTAACTCTCTGATGTAAACCTTAACAAAAAAATAGTAAAATTCCAGCTTAAACCAATCATAAACTTTGACAATAAAAGATTCATCATACATAATGAAACTGAGACAATTTTGAACTGCTTTTCCACATTAGGATCCTAGTTCTACAATTAAAATAAGCCACAGCTTACGGGTAGTCCCAGGCATTCTATTAAAGAACTCACAATCTTAAGTCAAGTAAAGGAAACCATATAATGAGATGTCATTACTTTTCCCTTCCCCAAGCTACCCGTCAAGTGTCTGAGATTCAATGTGAAAATAAGCATCTCATGTTCTGTGCCCTTAGGATGGATTTTAAACAACAAAAACTTCAGGAAACTACATCTCTAGACAGTAATCCTCTGCACTACATCACTCCTCTGGTTATTAACAATACATCCTTAAGTACCTGCTTCTGACATGAATAAAGACTGGAATTCACTCACTGATCAAAAAGACTAAAAACTATGTTGTACACTCTTTTTTGCTTTGTTGTACCCATGTTGAATGTGTATGACATTGGTCTAGTTACATCATGAGGACCCTCCTTTAAAAATCAATAAAAAACCTACTAAAAGCTGAAAGTTTGCATCTCGAATACATACCCACATGAGATACTTGTACTCGTTAACTTTGGATTCGACCCTGCTAAAACTCACCACCCTAAACAGGTCGTTCATACCTAACCCAAAACATACCCCCTTTTTTTAACATCAAACTCATACAGCATATGGAGAGAGGTGGCATCACAAGAAGGTAGGCAGTGTCTAGTATATGGCATTGTTCTTGATTAATTAAATTTAGAAGTTCTTTCCAGACCCATGAAAAATGTAGAGAGTCCAGTATATGACGTTGATCTTGATTCATTAATCTTAGAAGTTACTTCCAGACCCTATGAAAAACATAATTTTGTATCCCTATAAATTATGCGGTGTAGCTTTGACAGAATGGTCATTGGGTTTCATTACAAGAAAATGCTTTAGTCAAATGGCCACGAACTAAACTTGCTTACCTAAAACAAACAAGATTGGAGTATAATGACCTCTAATGTTCTTCAATAAACTACAAATGTAGAAACAGCTGAGAAGTCCTTTAAGTGTAGAACACTCACCATCTAATTCAATAAGAAGTTGACTCATGACCCGATCCGACACAGAAACCCCATCACTTTCTTTGCCACGTACAACAGCAAGGCCATCTATTTCATCAAAAAATATAATTGAAGGAGAATTCGTCCTAGCCTTTGCAAATAGTGTCCTAACAGCTTTTTCTGATTCACCCACCCATTTGCTGTAAAGCTCTGGGCCCTTCACAGCAAGAAAGTTCAACCCTGCTTCAGAAGCAACTGCACGAGCTAACAATGTTTTGCTGCATCCTGGAGGACCAAACAACAAAACTCCAGTAGGGGGACGAGTGCCAATGCGCTTGAAAGCCTCCTGGTGTTTCTGAGGCCATTCAACAGCTTCTATGAGTTGCATCTTAACCTCCCTCTGCCCTCCGACATCATCCCAGTTTACCTTTGGAACCTCAAGTATAACCTGATATTAAGAGGAAATATTTCAGTTCAGTGCAGACTGTAATTCCAGATGTCTACCAATGGCCGTTCAAATGAAACAACAGGCAGTAGGAACTTCAAATGAAAAAGAAAGCAAAGATGTAGACAGCCATGATCAACCTTAGATCATAACACATCATAACCCAGCTGCACTTAATCAATCAAAGGCATGTTAAAAACTTAACCCGTTACAAAAAATGACTCAATAAAGCAATTTGATTGGGGGCAATCCCAAAACTGCAAGGATGATGGTCAAACACCATACAAGAATGTGACCAGCAAATCAATATAGATAACATCACCAAACTTAAATATCCAACAATGTTTAACAACAAAAAATCTATAAATACGGTAAAACACACCTCTCTCATGGCACTTGGTCTTATTTTCATTCTAGCCCTTTCAAAATCTTTATAAGTGATTCTAAGGGTGTCTGTTTGCGCCATGCGAGTGAAGTTTCTCAGGATATCTGATGAAATACATGCTTCTGAAATAGATGAAGATGCCCCCTCGAAATCACTGTTAAAAGAAATGTCTTGTAAGCAATGGGTACCATTCCTGCCAAGGCATGCATCATATCTTGGCATTGAAGGTTTATATTGAGTATTTCCAAAGCATGTTTTTGACTCAACATGTTCACGAAGACAATTCAAAGCTGCTTCATTGCACAAAGCAGCTAGGTCAGCGCCCACGAAACCATGTGTAGCTGTTGCAAGGTCGTGAACATCCTTGTCCAAAAGAGCATGTTCCATTTCACCAAGTAGTGTCTGCAGTATTTCATACCGTTGTCTGGCAGATGGTACGCCTAAACATATTTTTCCATGAAATGAGAAAGGGTCACATATCACATCAAAAGCACTATAACCAAAAAACAAGGGAGTAGAGTTCAATTTTCGAGCACATGGCATAAGTCAAAGATCTCAGGATGACTCTATGCGACTACTGACTATGCTCATTCAACTCACAGCAAGAATATGAAGAGTAACAGCAATAATGATAAACCATGAGAAAGATTGAATTGTTATATGAGCATCCAGTAATTTGCAGTAGATATCCAAGTCATTTGTTGTTATAATTAAGTTTGATGACAATAAGTGATAGGACTCTGTAGTGACCTATTTCAATTTCCCTGTCAAGTCTTCCAGGTCGTCTAAGAGCTGGTTCAACACTGTCAGGTCGATTGGTTGCAGCAATAACAAGTACACCATCAGCTCTTCTTATTCCATCCATCAAGTTTAACAATGTAGCTACCATTCTTTGAGAAAGCTCTTCACCTGCATCTTTACGAGCAGGCGCAATGGCGTCCAACTCATCAATGAAGACCTACAAATGGAAAAAAGGCTCTGGATCATTGAAAACTTAATTAGTTGACATTTGAAATTAGAAACCCTATATATTGCAGCAACCGTGACCTGACACAAGCAAGTTTATTGTTGAAACAGAAGATATCTAAACTGGATTAAAAAGTGAGGAAGCAAACCACGGCAGGAGCTGCTTGACTCGCTGAATCAAACACCTCGTTCAATGCCCGTTCACTTTCGCCATAATATTGACTAATTACTTCAGGCCCATTGACAGAGAATAGGTTTACACCAGCTTTATGAGCACATAATCGTGCCAAAGCAGTCTTTCCAGTCCCAGGTGGCCCATGAAGAAGTACTCCCTTTGTAGGTCGTAAGCCCATGCTGAAATATTGACAACTGAACATTTAAATATGATAAAGAAAGTAGACATTTTCTACATTGACTGATTTTACTATATTGGTGTAATAGGCAGCGCATTAGCTGAGCAAAACAAACAACATCTCCAGAAAGTAAAAGCTGATTTCCTGAATAAAAGATATACATTTGCCTTCAGAAATTCCAATGATTTTCCTAGGGACCAAACTACTCTCAACCCAATAAAGGAAAAGGGGAAAGCTTCTTATTAAAATTCTGGCAGGAGTTGGGAAAACATATTAATGCTATTAACAATGTTCTGCAATAAAGGTAAATCTCACAGTAACTGATATCAAGAGTTAAAAAATTTAACCATTTTTAAAGGAAAAATTGCATATAAATAGGTTCAGACTCCAAATGGCATTATAGCAGGAGAAAGGAGCAGTGGACCAAGGTGGTTGAAGGGAAATTAAGATCGATCAATCCTCTAAAATAGGCTAATCCATTATTTGGCACGATTGAAACAACCTAGAAAAAATTGTAAACCTACATAACCAACTTTTCATACCCAGAAAGCAAGCAGATCCCTATATTTCTAAAGATAATTTTGCCATAGTAACAAAAGTTATATGCTTTTAGAGAAAAACTGGCATTTACATTAGAAAGAGAGTGTACCTAGCCATTGTACCCTTCACAACCGACGATATTATTATGTCCATTAGAACTGCAAATTCTTCAGAAAGACCACCCAATTTTGTGTAGTCAACTCCATCCTTATTGTTGATATTTCTATGTTCAAGGTCTGATTGTGATAAGCTTGTTATTGGAGTTCCCACTTCAGTGTCCTGGGGTAAATGTAGAACTACTTTTGTTTTGTGATCTACAGAGAAAGCAACACTACCATAGCCCTCCAAATTTTGGGGAGGAGAAACACCCATAACCTGGAAACAACACAGCCTTGAAAGCAGTGGGACTATCACAAGATTTCCAGATAGTAAAATGCGAGAACACAACCACGAAGCTGTACAGGTTTGTATAAGTTTCTTTGAATGGTCATTCACCAAAACTTCTCTTATGTTGAATATTTCACTAGTTGAGCCACCTACATCAGAAGAGATCGACACTGACTCTTGATCCTTGGGTGTATTGAACTCCATAGTGCTAGGAGAATTAAGTCTAGAACGAGTGTGTAATGGAGTCCGAGGAGATGAACCTGCCATAGTCTCACTTCGAACATTTCTTGTTTCAGTTGTTGAATACTGAGAGGATATGAAGCTGTTCATCGGTGGTATTCCATTACGAGATACCAGCAACAAAGATAGTTCCTCACAGTTACTAACCAAAAAGGAACTAACTTTACCATTGGACGATTGATTGCTTCCACTTGCAATACTCCTTATGGTATGATCACGAATAGGGTGAACAAAAACAATCCTACCCGAAGCAGGGTAGCCCATACTCCATGAGAGGCTTGAAGATAATCGTGCTCCATTTTTTAAAATCTGCAAAGAGATGAATGTCAAGTCAATGCAAAATTTTACCGTTTGGTAAGAATACAACAACACCTCTCTTCAAAATTGATAATAAGCCAACATCAGCGCCAGTAATAACAAATTTTATAACTTCTAAGAAAAATTTCAGATTATCGGAAAAAAAAATCAACATTTAAAGCAATTTCCAGCTTTATATGCTTATTTGTCAAATTAAGTCACAGGAATTGGACAGCAGAGGAAAAACCGAAAAGGAAAATCAAAACAAATATTTGCATCCAAACCTTACAAGATGGGAAAACAGACGCAAGAGCAAAGAAGTTTCCTGCTTCATGAGCCACATTTTCTGTATAATCAAGCCCAAAATGCCTTGTACACTCATCTACTAATGAGCTAAGAGGGAAGTTACTTTCATATTTCTTCAAAGAAGCAAGGGATACCTGTTAACATTAAAACGTAAAACAAGATCAAAGTCTGACACCAATAAATGTTTAACTTCAAAGGAAGATTGAAAATTGATAAGGAAGCAATGGCATATGGGCAATTACATACTATAGCTTATGTTGCACATGTGTAAAGCCTGAGAAAGCACATTGCTTCAGAAAACACCCCCTTCCCAAATCAAAAACCAGCTCAAAATATTTCAAACACTTTCTTAAGTAATACATTGTATGAATTTTTTACGAGCTCCTGTTTCCCTTATTCAAAATCTATCTGGAAGAAAGACAAATATTATCTTCACAATAGGACAATTTCTTTAGCAGAGGTGAAAGAGAAAATAAAAGCAGCTTTTTTTAATGGTTCTCATGAATATATTCTTTAGTTGAAAGAGGCTCATCTGAAGTTCTAATTCGAGCTCAAGTCATAATTGAAGAAAAAATATAAACACAAATTAGTTACAAATTAAGTTTATTAACTAAATTCAAGCACAAGCAGAATTCATCTCACATTAAGGATGCAAATTGCGAGACATACATGTAATTTTGTACATTAAATTCATACATCAACTGATCAAAGAGAAGAGAACAACTTGATGTAAATCAAAAGTAAAGGAGAGAAAAACAAACAATATTCTCAATGTTCAAAAGAGACTAAAGAAAATTCAACTCATATATATATGTATGTGTGTTTGTATTACATATAATATGCACAACCACCACACACACATGCACACATAACTATAATCTTTTCCATTAGAACCACATCAAACCCCTGAAATACCTACAATAAACAGCAAACACACACAGCTATAATTACCACACACACATGCACACATAACTATAATCTTTTCCATTAGAACCACATCAAACCCCTGAAATACCTACAATAAACAGCAAACACACACACAGAGATATAATTTAATGTATGTTTAAGTCATAACAACCACAGCAACCCCTAATAAACAACTAGTAAACAGTGGCAGAGCCACTCCTTCATCGGGAAACTACACTATATACTATGTAAGAAAATTCTCTTTTATGTATATATACTACCTCTGTCCCAATTGAGTATCCTACTTACCTTTTTGGTCTGTCCCAGAAAGATTGCATCTTTCCATATTTAGTAAGTGTTTCAATTCCAACATCCTTCATGACAAATTCAAGACCACACAATTTAAAGAACTACACACATTAAATTTTGTGTTCAGTCAAACTAAGACACTTAAATTGGGACAGAGGGAGTATTATATATTGACCCCCTTGACTTCTTCGTGGTTTTGCGCCTTTATTTATTGATACACTTGCTAAAATCCTGGTCAATAACACATACATAGAAAGATAAAAAAAACGAATCTTTTTTGAATTACAACTACAGAGATGAAAGGAAAAATCAAATTTACCGATACAATGGAGCCAGGAGAAATAGAAGAAGCAAGCATGGAAGATTCCGAAAGCCAAATTTTACAGCCTTTGGTACCCACAGTCTCCACAACATCTTCTGATATTCGACCAATAAAATCTGTTTTAGAAATCAAAGACGGGAACTTTCTCGAAGCTTCTTCAAGACAACACCTAAGTTCTCCTTCAGTAAATTCCACATCTGATGAACTCAAAACTGATGAAGTATCACTAAGTTCTGATTGTGAAAGCCTTGATGCTGACTTCTGATTCTTCTTCTTTGAAGGCATTTTTCTAAAATTGAAAGATTACTAACCAAAAGAATGAGATTTTTAATCAAACAAATTGTGAATTGAATGGAGTTTTTCTTGTGTATCTTCTTCTTCTGCTGCTGCTGCTGCTATGGCTGTTAAAACCCTTTACAGAGGTTTAGCAGCTGGGAGGAAAAATAAAATGCTATTTTCGTCCCCAACTTTTCAGGAATTGTGTTTTTATCCTCAAAAAATGATATATATAATTATATTTTAAAATTTAGATTTAAATATTTTTAAAATTTGTACTTAGTCAAACACATGACATAAAACGAAACAGAAATAATAGTAATAACAAAATACTCAATATAGTCTCATAAGTGGGTGTGTGAGGAGAATGGTGTATATGAAACCTTATGTCCTTATCATTTTTTTCGATAGCAAATAATATGATTGATAATCTATTTACTTCACAGTCAATGCTTAATTTTTATAGACGTGAGTGAGTTTATTAGATATATTAATAATAATTTGGATCGAGAGAAACCAATCGGGAGCATTATAGAGAAAAGAGTAACGTAAGAGCTCTGCTAGAACAATGAATATTATGCGCTCTTTCTTATTTTGACTCCTTTACTATTTTATAAGTCTTAGTTACGTCAATGGTCTATCGGAAACAATGTTTCTATCATTATACAACTTGCGTACACAACACTCTCCATAATAAAAAGTATTATACAAAGATCATAGGTTGATTAGTTTAGAGGGTACTGATTGTCCCACATCGTTTGGAGAAAATGCGTTTTGATGGTTTAAAAATGTAACAGAAGAAGTAACTAACACTGGGCTCAGTTACGTGGGCCTGTAACCCAAGTGGGAGTAATAAAATAGTGGGAGATTATTATATGAAAAAAGGTGGATGTCATATTGTATTTGGGGGTAGTAAGGTCTAATATGAGGACCAGTCCAAATACCACTCTGGTAGAGTTTAAAACCCTCTACCCGTTTGGGTATTCTCTCAACTGACTTAACAGAGCAGTTGCAGCAGGAGTTCACTATCTTTGGTGGCATTAAGGTGGATCTCATATTAGACATCTATGCTCCAAATACCTTCCACCCTTATAATAACAACCATTATCTTTTCTTTTTTTTTTTGTCCACAACATTGGAAAAGGAATAAGAATCAAGAATTTAAGTTCCATTTATCATTTTAGTCACACTACTTGGAGCTCAAGTAGTACTATTTTTATAGAAACCAAATAAAAGGGGAGGCAACAACAAAGGGGATTTCTTGATTGATGAAACAGAAAAAATTAAGTCATCTTCCCAGTCAGTAGTATTAAGTGGATTCTTGCATTTGAGGCAGCAGCTTCAGCTAGCATGATGGTGATGATGCAGCCAACAGGGATTTGGCTGGAGGTAGTAATGCAACAGCACCTCTCTCAGAATTTGAGTACTTCTTGTAAATCACCTTAAGCTTGTGATTTGCAGCCTCAGAGTGATAGCTGACTAACTGCCTCGCGCACTCTATTACTTGAGACTCTGAGAAACCAGTGTGCAGCTTAAGTGTCCCATTCCAAAATGGTGTCCGGTTGAGAGTGTGTCGAGCAGCATAGACAGCTGAGGCAGCAATCATTGATGGACAGTAGATAACAGTTGCATAATTCATCAACCCCAGCTCAGCCAGAAAATATACCATGTTCTCCATCTGGTTTTTAAGGGATTCAGTTAGTACAATAAACTCATTGGGACAAATAAATATAGCCAAGAATGTAAAAATGACTTACTTCTGAATCAGGCAGAGAAGCTTTGATGAAACGTACGAGGAACACGTAAGGTGTTGGGACTGTTAGGTACCATTCCAGTTTCCCAAGAATTTGTTTCTCCATAGCTAACACCTGATCATGACTGTAAGTTTTGTCTGCGATGCCCACAAAGTCGTTGACCTGAAAAATCAAATTAGAACATTCAGAAAGTTGTTAGCAGCTCATATGGTGAAAGAGACTTCATATATCATTTGATAAGCTCTAGAAATATACCTCAGGAGCCCAAATTTCTTCATATTTGGAGGCTATGAGCATGGCACTAATGCCCACCAACTGCAATTCCCTTCTTGATGAAAATTCCACAGCGAGGTAGCGATCAACAATGTTAATTGTGAGGTAAAGAGTTTCTGGATTAAGTTCAAACTTGTGGTGGACTTCAATTAACCAATCAATCAGAATTGCTCTCATTTTTTCACTTATCTCAGGCTGTGAATCAATGTAGTCATGAACTCTTGTCTCACTCTGCAAAGAAGCAAAAGAATTCGAGTTGATCACAATATTACTGGTAAACATGAAACAAAAATAGACAGCAACAATCAACATAACCTCAAGTTCAAGACAATGGATACCTCGGCTAGTTTGTAGAAGTTGTAAATGTCTTCAACATATTCCAGAACTGCCAATTCATTGTTTACATCTGCAGCATCAATGTCCACAATCTGTTCCTTTGGTTTCTTACTCAGACCGCATGCAGCCTTTATAAAGTTGACAAAAACATCAGATATTCCTCTAGTTGTACAACTGACAATTATGTAAAACACAAAACAATCCTCTATATATCTATAATGTTCTAAAATTAACAAAAGAGGCATATCGAACCTTGCTTCGAGCAGTGAGAGTTGAAGTAAGAGTTGATTTCTTCTTTGTTATATCTTCAGCAGCCTGCTTCTTCCTAAGCATCTTCTTCTCCATTAGTTTCTCTCGAGTGTCGGGACTAATTTCAATAATCTCCTCCGGTTTTGGCTTAACTGTGGCTTTCTTCTGAGCTGGTTTCCTTCCTACAGGTACTTTTTGAGCTCCATTAGCAACATTTGCTACTTTTACATTAACAGCCACAGATTTCTGCAAACATTTTTAAAAAAACACAATTACACAAACCAAATTAGTACATAACATTACATTGAGATTGAAATACTTTATTGTCATTTTTAAATGATTATGACTTTATTGTCATAACCTTCTGATTTTCAGGTGCTGCCAACAATTGTGCACAAAAGCTCCTTGTTACGGGGCGAGATACCTGAGGAAGTGGCTTTCCTTCGACTCCACGGCCTGTAGCCAGATTCCCAATATCTCCAAGCGCCTTTCGGTTTCTCCCTTCTGCTACCATATTCTTTTTCTGCTTTACTACACCAGGGACAACTACCTCACCTAAACAATAACAAACACTTCTATTTTAGTACACCAAACAAACATAAACACATCCAGGATTTTAAGTTTATGAGTTATGAAGCCCATATATATAGCTCCTTAGCTTACTAAATTCATTCGGGGTACAACATTTATACTACTACATATTAAGTGAAATTCGTAACACAAAACAAGATCTAAGCTAAAGTTACAATCCATCCCTGCAAATCCAACACCATTAACATTCAATACTACTTAAAGAGTTCATTGTGTTAACATCATTTACAGAACCATCTATCATAAACATTTCAAGAGGTTCACTCAATAACAAATGTACATTAACTAATTTATTATACCTATTAAAGTTACTTTTATAACACAAAGACAAGATCTAGCTAAGTTACGATCCATCCTTGCAAAACAAAACACCATTAACATTCAATACTACTTAAGAGAGTTCGATTGTGTTGCATCATTTGCCATCTACCATGAACATATCAATAGATTCACCCAATAACAAACCCTAAACAACACAAAAAGGTACAAATTTGTATCCTGAATATTATGAGAAACCTATTTATAGAATATCAAGTAGGCCTCATTTCTCATCAGGTTACACTGCAACAACATCTTGTTTACATTTAATCTAAGCATCTTTAACACACCCAACCCAAAAAAACAAAACAAAAAAACTTAGCAAGTAGAAATTGAAACACCCATTAGAGAAATGTGAAATCTTTGAACCAAATTAGATTCATGGGTGTTACCAGTTGGGATTTTTTTATCAAAAAGCAAGAAAACTTATTGAATCGAAAACGGAAGAAAAAAAAAGAATCGAAAGATAACAAAGAAAGTCCCAAAGATTTCACCTTTATTCTGGTGTTGAAGAACATTTCTTGAAGCCATTTTTCAGAGAAACTTTGAACCTTTTCTTCTCTGAATATTTTGGGAAAATGAAGAAGAAAGACACCCTATTTGAAGCTTCACAAATCGGCGCTTCACTCCCAACGGTCTCATTTTTTCATTCAATCTAAGCCTTTGGATGAAGTCTTAGATCGAACGGTCGTGATTGAGTATCAGACAGTTGGGCTTATTCCTGTAATAAAGCCCATTAAGGACTGTCCAAAACTTACCGTTGTGTTTAACCATTTTTTATATAAAAGTATTAATATTACTGATACTAATATAACAAATGTTGAGTTTAATTGTTCAAGTCACTATTAACTCAATTCAATTAGCCGGAATAAACTAACTATATGAATCGTTTCTTTAAATATGAGTTCTTTTCATTTCAATACTAATAAATAAAAGGATAAGCTAAAATTGTCTTTATAAGATGGATAATAGGAATGATATTGGGTAATTAGAAACTTGAAAGAAGTCATAGTCAAAATAACACTTCCAAAAAAAAAGAAAATACAAATGCAAAATGATTAGAATTAAAGTTGATTTAACAAGTTTTTCAATTAGTTGACTGATCCAAACGATAGCAACTGTAGCTCTATCTCTTGTTGAAATTTTGACATAATAGCTTTATCTTTCAAACATATCAACACATCTATTCCACCATAATCCTTTGAATCCATCAATCGAACATTATTCGTAGATATCCTTGGATTTGGACTAACCCATGACGGTTTGCCCCAACCAAAATCAACGTATGATTTATAGCCACACAAGCTACTAACTTGCAACGCGATCTCCCCTCGGATTAGCCCTTCAGTTATCTCCATTAAGTCATAGGGAAAGGCGAAAATCGCCTCATCTCGACTCTGTTTGTCCACATATTTGGAACTCAATTGTGACAACGATTTTCTTATACAATTGACCAATGTGGCCAAGTCAGATCCATCATCGTTCTCACCTTTACACGCTGTGGCAACTGCAATAACATTTCCTACACAATGATCTGGCAATGGAGGAACAAATCGCCTTCGCATATTTACAAAGTTTGTCAATTTTGAAGCACCAGCACCAGCACCAGCAGTTATGACACATTTCCAAATCAGAGCTGATACAGCTTCAACCCGTGTAG